TCATGGGACCTGTGGTGTCGAGGGAGACCTAAAGGTTACAGGGCCTCACAGATGAGCAGCAGGGAAGAGCATCCCTGGCCAAGGCGGAAGCATCTCCGACTTCGGATGCATTCTCAGCCCCCAGCAGGTGCTGGTGACATTGTGCTGCCCTGTTCTTGCTTCCTACTTAAGTTCAAATTCTCCTGGAGTTGGCTGGTCAGCCTCATGGTCCCAGGTGAACACTGTTTTCCCAGTCACCATCCATCCCATCCTTCTCCCACTTCTCTGTTCTCCTATCCCATTCCTCTCTCACTTAGGGAAAATCTGAAACTAGAATATTAGAAGAGATGAGTCAGATTTTCTTTTTCAACTTTTGATTTTGAATTACAGAAATCATAGTTGCGGAGGTTTGTTTTTTTCCCCAAGATTTATTTATTGATTTGTTTAACAGACAGAGCAACAGAAACAAATAGTAGATCTGCTGATTCACTCCTTAAATTAGCAAACAACCTGAGCTGGACCAGACCCAAGCTAGGAGTCTGGAAATCTCATCTGGGTCTCCCGTGTAGGTGGCAGGAGTCCAAGTGCTTGAGCTATCACTTGTGGCTGTCCCAGGCACATTATCAGGGAGCTTGATAGAAGAGGGACAGCTGGGATTCAAACTGACATTCCGCAATGGGGTGCTGCTTTCCCAGGTGGTAGTTTAACCCACTGCTCCACAACTCTCACCCCAGAATAAAAGTTTAAATAGTCACAGGTTTTTCATTCAGTCTGCTTGAAACTCGCCTTCTTTGGTCTTGTTCTGTAAATTCTGTGTGGAAGAGAACTGTCATCTGACTACAGAAATGGGAATTGAGCAATTTGCTTTCTAGTTCCAGCCATGGAACTCTAGCTCACTCTCCTGGTCTGGAAAATGAAGTTAAAAGTTGAGTGATCCAGCTCTGTCCTCTGAATAGTAACTCAAGGTATTTTCATTGCAGGCAAAATGCCCAACTTGAATGATTTTTTTGTCAGCTGCCTCCTTACTTTCTCCTTCCCCGGCTTTGTGTCTTTGCCTGTTCTCTGCTTCCATGCCAGCCACTGTTTCCAATGTGGAAACCCACCCAGGACGCAAACGGGGAAATATTTGATCACTGGCAAAGCTTGCATGTGGCTTTGTTGACCATCATTCTAAACATTTGTATTTATTATCATTGCATTTGAAAGGAGAGAAAGAGCTTCCACCCTCTGGCTCACTTCTAAACTGCTGCCAAAAGCCAGGAGTGGTCCAGGCTAAAGCAGGAGCCACAGACACCATCCACTTCTTCCATGTAGGTGACACGGACCTGAGCTCTTAGACCATTTTCTATTGCATCACAGGGTGTGTATCAGTAAGAAGCTGGGTAGAAAGCAGAATACCAGAACTTGGACCATCCCACACTGATATGGGGATATGGGGTGTGGGTGTGCCAGGGGGTGACTTCACCACCACCATCATCAGCATTCTCTCATGTTTCTCCTTTGCTTGCTTCACCACCTCTTGCCCTTTTCATTATTTATCTGTTCATTCTTTGTTGAAGAATATTTTAGTAGTACCTGCTCACAGAGGACCTGTGACATTGAGAAATGTGTTTACAAATACATTGCTGGTGGCAAACAGAAATCCTAGAAGTACCTCTAAGGGCCGTCCTCAGCCCATGGGCGGGCTTTTTGTTGTTGTTATAATGTTCAAATTTAGCTCTTTTACATATTCGTTTGACTGTATCTGAAGATTGGGTTGTTTATCTCATAGACTGGGTGCGAGGCAGGGGTGGGGCTGGCCTGTTGCAGCAAGGCTACACTGACTTGCTGTGTCATGGTCCCCTCCTCCCATGTGGGTGAGATTGGAGAATATGCAACTGATGGTCCCTTAGGTGCCCACATGAGCTTCATGTGGCGCTCAGCTCCCAAGTTCAGACTGCGAGGCCAGAAAACCATGATTCTAGAATGTTAGAACACAGAGATCATTGGACACCATTTTCTCATTTTATCTTGTAGAACGTACTGGTTTGTGTTTTGTAGAGACAATAATAGAAGCATAGAGAACACAAAAATGGGCCATAATCTTTTCCTCAATAAATCTCTCTTGACTCTAAGGGGTAGGTTGAAGTGATGCATTCACACTGCATGGGAGAAGTCACAGAAATGTAAAAGCCATTCTTCTGGAACCTCTGCCCCCAGTGGCCCTTCATAGACAAGGGTATGGGAATGACAGCATGTGCCATACCCAACCTTACCCTTTTGTTTTTGATGACATTTCTAAGATATGTCAAAAACATATAAGCTCCTTTTTCTAATGGCCACACCATACATCTGAGACATCTTAGCAGCATTTGCTTCCATGACCCTTAACTTAGAGTCCTAAGATGTGGGCTGACCATAAGATTCACATGCAGGACTGACCACTCCCTGCAAGCTGACTGTCTCCGCTCAGCCTCTCTCAAGTTCCCTCTTGTAGACAAACAGGCTGCCACTCACAAGCCGCCTGTCTCATAGTTTCTTTACCTATTTCTGCTCTTTCTCGGCCCTCCTCTGTTGGACTTACCATCTTCTGATTGTCGTTTGCCTCCTGGAAGTCCTGTGTGACCACAGGGTGGTCAGCTTACCTCCATCTTTGCTATATGAGAAGCTCCAGCATGGCCATCCCTCTGACAGCCACACCTGTGACCCCAAGTGCCCAGCTCAGTGCCCAGAGTTGACAGAAACGCAGTAAATACTTGGCTAACATGGTCACTAGGGTATATTCTGTGACTTTGGACAGATAAATATATTCAACATGGTCAGTGTGTATAGAGGCAGAAACCACTTTCAGTGGCTACTTTCTGACACTGGTTAAAAAGAGCAAGGAAGACTTTGTTCAAGATTTGCAACAAGAGAGGAACTGAACTCAACTTCCCAAGTACCAGAGGGACAAACTAGGGGATTAAAGGCCATGGGCAAAGAAGAGAATGGAACAGAATTACCAAGAAGAGCCTGAGCAGATGTCAGGAGTGGACAGAGGAGCCCAGGGGACATGGGGGGTCAGGCCTTCGTAAAGTGGCTTATCAGGATTCTTGGCTTGACCTTGGGCTCAGTTGACCAAGACTTGGTGGGGAAGAGGGGACAATAACTCAGTGGACCCTGACTGCTCAGAGAAAAGGTTCTCTTCACCATTGGGCAGAGGAGCCGTGTGATAATGACCGTGCCCTGTGGTGTCTGGCATCACATCCTGATAAAGATAGAAATGGCCCCAGAAAACAGGAGATGACATTTGCAGGAGTTGCCAGCGGGCAAGACTGCAGTGTGTCTCCAGGATGAGCCTGCATTGTTTTAAACAGGAATGATGAGTGGCTGCCCCTCCCACCTCCTAGGGGAATCCTGCAGGCTGTTCCAGGAAAGACCTGTGTTGAGTACTTGTGAGGGCCTTCGCAGTGGGCACTGGTACTTTCCCCTGAGATACTCTCTCACATGTTCTTTACTCACGGGGCTAACCTGGCCTGCCTGAGTGCTGTGACTTCGGTCAGGGACACACCTGACCTCAGGGGCCAGTGGTGGCTATTGGGTCAGCCAGGGTGATGGCACTGTCTTCCTGGGCAGGTGGCTTCTGGGTTCTACCATTGCTCCAGAGGAGTTATTAATAGTACCTCTTTCCATTGCTGGGAAAGCCCAGCTTAGTTAATGTACTATATGACCATTCTGCCTGGCTTACCACAGTGTGACCCTGGGCCTGGCACCTAGAGCCACTTGGCACATGATGACTGTGGTGGTGAAGGGACAGTGCTTGAAGTCAGAAGTATAATTATGTCACATGACACGGGCTTCACCCACTTTCCCAATGGGAATGGACCAAAATGGAGGGGACGTAAAAGGCCAGAGCTTGACTAGGTTGGTGTGGCCAGGATAGCTGGAGAGGCATCTGTGAAGGATCACCAATGCAAGTCCATTGTATGCTCTTAGAACTCATAGCAGGTGATGACATGAACTTATTTTTAGCTTTTGGAGCCATGTCTGTATTTGGATTTTAGAGTGGCCGCTTGAAGGGCTGATGAGATAGGAATCCTCTTCCCACTTTAAAAATCATAGGGTGCTTGTGAAAAAATGCCACAATCCTGACCCACAAGTTCTCATCTCAGATCTGTGAAAGCCTTTCATATGGCAAGTGGGCAGAGGTGGGCAGGGTCCTTTTCTGGTCTAAGGACCATTGCCTTAGAAGAGGTGAACTCTTAGGAGCTGATGCCTATTCTTTGGCTGCCTAATTCTTGCCAGCGAGCAAGACTGCAGTGTGTCTCCAGGATGAGCCTGCATTGTTTTAAAACAGGAATGATGAGTGGCTGCCCCTCCCGCCTCCTAGGGGAATCCTGCAGGCTGTTCCAAGAAAGACCTGCTGGGGAAAGGCCGTCTCGGACTAGAGCTGGGGATGCAGCAGTATGAGCGGCACCAGGCATTTGCTGCCCAGTCCAGTGAGGGGACAGACTCCATCCACCTAGGCAGCGTTCCCAACACAGCATCACTGCCGGTAACCACAGGGAGCAGAACCAGGGGCCCACCCAAACTTGCAGCTGAAGACCAGCTTCAGAGTAGAAATCAGAGCTGGGAGCTGATGGGTGAGGTGAGATCAGGAGTGTAGCTGCGTGCCATGCAGTGAGCACAGCTGACACAAAGGCCTTATGCGGCAGAGGATAGGTTTTGGTGGGCCTTGAGAAAAATGCGGTGGAATACATGAGATGTGGGCTCTTGGCATGGGTGTACCACAAGACCTGGGCCCTGAGTTCTGGGAGTCGGTGGGCCCCACCATGCAGCTGTCTGCAGGCCATTTGAGCACCTCCCCTGATAACTCAAACAAGCTGAGCCTACAGACAGGGGTGCTGGGCCGTCTGTGTGCTTTGTCTAGGGAGGTGCTGGGGAGTAGGTGTACGGTGGGTAGTATAGCCCCAGGCTGCACAGGGACAGGGTCCTGGGGTGCCCTTGTATAAAATGTTGACTGTTTGGGGTCTGCCACACTCACACCTGTATCTCTCTCCCAGATCCTGACCGGCCTGTACATCGGCAACTTCAAAGGTGAGTTCCCGATCTCTCTAAATTATTGTAAAGTTCACTTAGTGTGCAATGTACCACCTTAGCCTTTTATCAGCATACACACTGACCAGTTGTGTGGAGTAAAACACCTTGTTGTGCAGCCGTGAAATGCCAGCTCCCTTTTCTGTGTGGTCCTGGTCCTAGCATCCCACCCTTCCACCGTTCGTCTCTGTGGATTTTATTGCTGTCAGTCCTTCCCCGTTGTAGCGTGAGTCAGAATTTCCTTCTTTCTCAAGTCCATCGTGTAGATCAGGCAATCTGCTCTTGAAGAGAACAGCCTCAGGTCTCTCACACGTGATGGACACTCGAGGTCGGAACTCAGACCCTTGTGGATGCACTGACACTCAGTGCTGTGCCCTGACCCCTCCGCCAGCAGCTGACTGCGGGATGCCAGGATGTGTAAACTCCGCCTCCTTTTTGGTCTACCTCTGACCTCCTCATGTGTGTCCAGGATGTTACTGTTACGAGATGGTGGACAGCGGTCGCATGGAATCAGCAGACTGGCATCTCTTAGCACTTGAGTTTGCTGCTTACTAATGATTCATCTTCAGGAATCTGTAGACTTTTACATCTTCTAGGAAACATGATTGGCTGTCTCATTTCCGGCAGGTTATTCTCACTTTTGATTTGGCTACTTTCTTGCCCCACATCCCTGCTGATTGTTCAGTGTGTGTCCATTGGCCACAGCTCTGGATGTTGTAGATTTTACTCATCTATGGACAAAACCTGTGGTGGTCACCAGGCTGGTGGTGGTTTCCAGAGGCAGAGCCAACTCTTCTTGCTGAGCTCTGAGTTTGTCTAAGTGAAAAGGATGGATCCTCGGGTAAGGTGCACTTACCCAATGGTAAGGAAGGAGCCAGGAAACTTACAAGTCTACAGGCTTGTTGGATCGGACACACACAGCCAGATCTGCTACCAGGGGGCCTAACACAGCCCCTCTCACCCAACAAGTCAGAACACAGCCTTGCCCAGGAATATGAACACATGCACGCCTCTTGTCTGGCTGTTGCTAAAATTGCTGAGTTCAGGTGCAAATCAAGGAATTCAAGGAATATGTCACAATGGAAATGAATCAAATGAAAGCTGATGTATCAGAAATGAAGAAAACAGTGGAGCAGATGAAAAGTACAGTGGAGAGTCTCCAAAACAGAATGAAGGAGCCAGAGGAAGAATCTCAAAATTCGAAGCTATTTCCTGTCACCAGGGGGAAACAAACAAAAAGCTGAAACCAGAGCTGGATCAGGCAATAAAAGAGTGTTCAAGAGTTGAAAGGCACTATTAAAAGGCCAAATGTTAGAGTTATGGGAGTCCCAGAAGATGCAGAAAGAGAAGCTGGGTTTACAAATGTCTTTAATGAAATAATAAGAAAAATTTCCCTGATCTAGAGAAAGAATTGGGAAACAACATCCAAGAGGGGCAAGGAACTCCAAACAGGGCTGACCAAAAGCGATCTTCACCACGACATATGATCATCAAGTTCTCTTCAATCAAACACAAGGAAAAGATCCTTCAATGTGCATGCGAAAAAAAGGCAAAAGTGAGGAACATCCCAGTGAAATAACAGAAGACTAAATCAATTGACAACCCATTGCTAAAATGACAGGACCAAATTACTGCCCATACATATTAACCCAGAATTTCCAAAAATTAAATTTGGGCAAAGCAAAAAACATTTTTTAATGCAGTGGACTTCCAAAAGTCAAATTCAGGCACAAAGCATATTAGCCCTAAATGTAAATGGCTTAAATGCATCAATCAAACATAGATTAGTAGACTGGATTGAAAAAGGATAAGACCCACCTGTTTATTGCCTATAGAAGACACATCTCAGTAACCAAGATCAGCAGAAACCATATCTCATGAATTTTGATTTTTTTTTGTTTCATATCTCCAAAACTCTTTCTTGTTCAATCCTTCAGTGACTCCTAGATCATATAGTAGCATCATTTTCAAGAAGGTTCATGATTTTCTTTTTTAATTCTTCAGTGACACATTAGTCATTTAGTAACATATTATTTATCTTTATGTTTTTTTTAATTTCTTTTTTTCTTCCTGTTTTTGATTTTGTATTGTAGCTTTTCATTTAAGGGGATGTATAGTAACTGTGTAATAGAGACTATCATATCCAGATGTGAGGATTCAATGTAGTATGCAGCTCTACTTCCAGACAAAGAAGGACTCCCAATGAAACTGTCAACTATGTGTTGACAATAGAGAGACAATGTTGTCTCTGCCATTGTCCATACCTGCAGTGATAAACATATGACTGTTTATGAAGAACTATACTCTAATAATAATATAGGGGAATTCAGTTGGGGAAAGGACTTAGAGAGGAAGTAGTAGAAATCCCAGGGCCTAAGGAACAATATCATAAAATGATAATAACTTGAAAAAAGGAAAGCAAATAAATATTAGCTGAGAATTTAAAAAAATAGAATTACAGTGAAAGTTTTGCATATTAAAAGTTCTAGCAAATACTGACCAAATTCAGTACTTCTGCCAACAGCATCTGAGAGTTGTAGCTTTACCCACAGAAAGTTGCCTCCTCTTTTTTAGGAGGACATACACACCAGGTATTAAGGAAATATTTAAAGCCCTTCTTAGACTCTTAAATACTCAGTGACATAGAGATAGGGTTTCTTCCACCAGGATGTTCTCAGCAGTCTTGTGTTTAGATAGCTGGTCTTCATAGTTGCTTTCAGTCATTCTGCTATCGGAGTGTGGTTTTATTTGAGTCACTGGTTAGTCTCCTGCGCGTTCATAAATGATCAGGCATGAGGCTTGCCCTAAAATAAAGGAGAGGCAGTTAGCTGGAGGGAGAGGAAGTGATGTGACCTTACACTGCTATGAATGAACACGTCCACTCTCTGAGTGTGTCAGGACATGCCACACACCCAGAGGGCAATATAGACAAGTGTGCACATCCTCAGGTGGTGAGTCTCAAAGTAGGCTTAGGACACGTCTACGGATTGCAGGCCCGGCTGCCTTGGAATCCCAGGGCTGTCATGCGCCCATCACATGCCCGCACTCAGATGAGTTATAGAAGTTGGTGTGCGGGTGGCGGGGGCTGAGCCAGACGATGTGGTGACAGTGCTGGGGGCCCGAATCATTAGAAGCACGTCTGTGGGAGGCAGATGTCCACTCCCTCACCCAGCCTTCGCACCTGGGGAATGGGAATACATCCTAGCCGTGGGGCTTCCATGGGTGCGTCAGAAACAAGGCAGGACACCTAATGTGATCCCTCCTGGTCACCTGTGCTTTAGCAGGATGTTTCATTTGGTCGCACAACTTTCTCTTTTAAGTCGTGAACTAAATAAACCTCGTGTTGCACAGCACAGTATAGAAATGTGTAAGCAAAGGAAACACTTGCTGCCCTCCCCTGGCCTGTTCCCCTCACTTTGTTACTCTGCATTCCTTCCTTCCCTTCTTTCCTCTTGACCCTCCTTCCTTCCTGGGTCACTTAGGCAACTTCCTCATTTACTTCCTTAGTTAACTTTGTAATGAATCAGTTTTCCACTTCAAGAAAAGCCACAAGCTCACTCAGTTTTCAGATTCCGATCTTTGACGTTTGGATGCAAGCGTGCAGCAGAAGCCCCGGTGCCCAGCAGCTGACTACGCAGTTGCACATACTTCCGTGAGGAAGGCAGGAAGTGGACATGAGAACAGCAGCTCCCGCTTGGGCCAGAAGATGGGGTTCGCTGCTTCCTTAGAATATAGGCCAAGAAAAAGATGTGTCAGCTGACAGAGGGAGCTCTCCTTGGCTGAAACTGTTCTGGAAAAGCAGGAGGAATCCCGGACACTGTACCCTTGCAGAGGGTGCAGCCAGAGATGACGTTCACAATCTTGGAATCGGCTTCCGGGTCTGCCAGGCAGCCAAGCATTGTGTTCCGGGCCAGGAGTCCCCAGCTGAGGCCATATAAGGGTCGGAAGTAGTCTGCTGTTCACTTGGGAGGACTGGGCGCTGGGTGAGGAGGCATCAGGTGGAGGAGACGGGAGGGCAAGGGCCATTTGGGCATTTTAAAGAAGACTAAGATGAAGCCTGAATGATGGCCTCGGTAGGGGTGATGACAACGAGGAGCGCACACTGAACCATGCCGAGTGTTAATGTGTTAACAATCCTTGATCCCAACCTTGGGTGGTATGATGCTGATGACCACACATTCACTGGTGTCAGTTACTGCTCAAGCAATGTTTTGCATCCCTTGGTCTGAATGGTAACCATTCAGGGTGGGAACGCACACCATTGTTCCCACTTTGTAGGTAAGAAGAGTGAGATGCAGAAAAATTTTCCCAAGGTTGGCACCAGTGAGCGTCATGTCAGCCACATTATCAGTGCCCACAACCTGGGTTGAACCTGCTAACGCATGACTCTTAGGAATCATTAGAAGGCACGATCATTTCTAGCTCTAGATGTCAGGAAGTTATTTCCTCACTGGGACACAGAGGCTGCAATCTCTTGCCCAGTTGTCAGCATGCTCTCCACCTGGGAGGCCAAGGTCATTAGGGAAGTAACTGAGAACAGGCACGGGCTGCAGAGTGGAGGAAGTTGAGAGACTCCATTTACACAGAGACACCCCGTTGTCTCTTCCCCATCTTGCCTAGCCATGCCACAAGTGCCTAAATCTGTGTATCAGCTGCTTTGAGAGGCACTGCCAAGCATTCTTCCCCACAAAGCAGCCATTTTGGTGTAAAGTGTCAGTGCTTGTTATTGAAAGAGATTTCAGAAAGTTGGTGGAGAGGCCAACATTGTGATATGGTGAGTAAAGCTCCTGCCTATAGCACAGGCATTCCATATGGCGTCAGTTCATGACTTCACTGCTGCACTTCCAGTCTAGCTCTCTGCTAAAGAGCCTTGGGGAAAGTCACAGATGATGACCCAAATACGCGGACCCCTGGCACCCATATGGGAGACCCTGATGGAGTCCCAGGCTCCTGACTTCAGGCTGAGCCAGCCTTGGCCACCTGACCATTTTGGCCATTTGAGGGAGTGAACCAGCAAATGGAAGATTTTCTCTTTTGCTCTCTTCTCTTTCTTTCTCTGTTTCTCCCCTTACTCCATCCCTGTATCTCTACTTTCAAATAAATTAATAAATCATTTTTATTAAGCCTGAGGGAAAGCTTGCCTATCTTTCCTCAATTCCATTTTTTCCCATGCCTTTTTGTAACTGTCTTGTATTTTTGTTCGTTTCATTCACTGGCAGTTTGGCTCTGTGGCGCCATGTCTGCCCAGGAAAGCAGTGGACAAGCCAGGGGACAGGGAAATGGGCAGGCTGTTGTATCTAGGGCTGCTCCATGTGAAGAGGACTTTGCTTCTTGTGAAGGCCTGGCAGGGCCTCACGGGCAGGTGGCAGGAGGGGATCTGACTCTCCAGAAGGGGTGACTGGATGGGGAGGAAGAGAAGGCAGTGCCTGTCAGCACTGAGGGATTGAGCGTTCATTTTATCTGCTAGTACATTTACACTGGTGAGCCCAATTTTTATTTCCTAATTGAAAAAGTAACAATAGCTCATCAGTTTAAAAAAATACAAAGTAGAACTACCTTACAGAGCTAGAGACTTCCTGCAACTCCCTCAATCCTGTGAAAACCGTGGCTGAGAGGTCAGGACCTGGAGGCTGTGCCTGAGCTGAGCAGATGAGCAAGCCCATGGCTCTCAGGCCATCTGTGTTCACAGGCCCTTGCTGCAACGCCCCTGCTGCAGCAAGCTCTCCACAGCGAGGGGTCACTGGAAGTCAGTAAGAGTGAAAGGCTGGGCACTGTCCCAGCACTGTGGATTCAGCGCTTTCTGAGAGGAGGGAATCCCCAAGGGTTACAGAAGGCACCAGGAGAAGGCCCAGCTAAGCAGGAGCAAGGGAGCCACAGCCCAGGGTGCCTTCCCTTTTCTTTGCAGACCAGCAGGCACTTGGTCTGTTGTGGAACTGAATCATCTTCACAAATTCATGGCTTTATTCCCAAGCAAGTCACTTTTTTTCCCCCTAAAGGTTTGCTTATATAAAGAGGCAGAAGGAGAGAGGGATATTACAAAAGCATATTGATAGGGCAAAGAAAACATGCAGAAGTTAGCTTGTGGTGCTGGTTGTACAGTTCTGAATAGGTTAAAAAAAAACCACAGCGTGTTCTAAAAGATGTGTTGATGGTGTGTGACATCTCGGTAGGTCTGTTGTTTAAAAAAAAGGATATAGTCATCCTTTGATATGTGTAGAGAGGTGGTTCTAAGTACTCCCAAGAATATAAAAAACCTGTCTGTTCTATGAAATGGTACAGTAATTGGATAGAACCTGGATACATCATGCTTGTGTGCTTTAAACCACCACTAGATGACTGTCACCAACACAGTATAAAATGCCATTTGTGGTTGGTATACTGTTGTTTAGGGAATGGTGACAAGGAACAGGAAATCTGCAACACATTTGTAGGTGTGTGCTTTATCTCTTCTGACTGTTTTGACCTACACACAAGTGTTGAATCCATTGGTGTAGACTCATTGAAATAGGAAGGACCGACCTTGAACCAGACACTAGTTGTTGAGATTCACATGCACAGTAGACCTGAGTCTGGGACATTCTGTGGGGAATACAATATGCACCCGCTGTATCGGATTGCTGTACTGTCGCAAATCTCTTCCAGCTCACGTCAGCCTCTGTGAGCTCTGGAAGCTGCATCTGCGTCTCCGACTTATATCACTCCCTGTCTAAAATACACATGCTGCTGGTGTTTGGGAAATTGGGTTTGCTGTATACATGTAGGCTGACTGGCCATGGGTTTCCTGAATGGTTCTACCTATGGGATGACTGGGTTTTTTTAAAATTTGTTTTATTTGTATTGTAAAGGCAGCTTTTAGAGAGAAAGAGATGGAGAGAAAGATCTTCCATCTGCTTGTTTGCTCCCCAAATGGCTGCAACAGCCAAAGCTGAGCTGGTCCGAAGCTGGGAGCCAGGAACCTCTTCCCAGTCTCCCATGTGGCTGCAGGGTCCCAAGGGTTTGGGCCTTCTTCCACTGTTTACCCAAGCCACAAGCAGGGAGCTGTATGGGAAGTGAAGCAGCCAGTACATGAACCAGTGCCCATAATGGATCCCAGTGCTCGCAAGACAGAGGATTAGCCAATTGAGCCATCACGCTAGGCCCTGGGATGTCCAAAATTATTTACACATTGGACCTGCATTTCCTCTCTGCTTCACATCACATCCTGAGCATTGCCCCATGTCGGAAATATTCTACAGAAACATGCTGCTGAAGCATTTTCCTTCATTCTATTTTACCCTGTTGATGCAACCCAGCGACATTAGGACAAGGCCCAGGCAAAGTGTCCTCCTGATTTTGTGCAGAACCCCAGCTTGGTACATTAGCAGAGTGTTCCAATACAGGGACTCACAGGCTTTGGTCTTCTTTCTCTGGGTAGAAGTGTTGGAAGGAATATAATTCTGATATGTCTTTGGATTCAAATGCCAGTAATGTAATAAACAACTGTAGAGTGTGGACAACTCTGAAATTTCCAGAAAATGTTCCATTTGTACTTCTGCTGTCCAGTGACTGTAAGTATTATAAACCACAGTTCTGTTTGAATCCAGACCCGCCCTTGCTTTTGCTGCAAGGAAACAGAAGTAGCTCATAGGTTGCTGTGTATTCTGTAGTAATGAGGTCTTGTGTATTCAGTCGCAACTTGGGCTGCTAGTCATTTAAAGGTAACTGAGTTTTAAAAATAAATGTGTATTGCTGTGAAGCTTCTGTTGAAGACTGATCTTACCCATGAAAACTATATACATTTTCATCTTTTGGAGAGCAGCCATCATGGTTAAGATGTGTATTCATGTAAGGACACTAAAGGTTTTCCATAAATGTGTCAGAGCAAAAGAGGTGTCAGTTAGCAGTAAACGCATGCCACGGATGTGAAAGTCATAGCCCCGCATTCTCCTCTCCCTGGATTGTTCTGAGGGTGGTCCATTACAAAGTGTCAAGAAAGAAATGTGCCAGCTGTGGTGCGTTTTGTGTTTTTTTCTGAATTGGCCTGGAGTCCAGGAGTAATGAAATCAGAGAATATTGAAGCCCTCATCCGCTTTGTTCCATGCCAGATGCCAGAGATGCAGAACAACTAAGCAAGAACAAAGTGACACACATCCTGTCTGTCCATGACAGCGCCAGGCCCCTGCTGGAGGTAAGAGAAGGCTGTCACGGGGGCGTATGTCTGGAGTGGGCATTGCATCGCTCACAGGCGCGGGCGTGTGTTCTGTGTGCCCCGCCGTGGCCGCCGCCCTGTGTTTTGTGCTTAAGCTGTGTTTACGTGCCTTCTGCTGGCACTCCCACCGCTCTGCTGGTTTAGCTTTCTTAGCTTAATGCCGAAGAATAGGCTGATATGGCATTTCCCTCTGCCATTTAGGGGTGTTGAAAACCCACGGTCATTTTCAGCGTCACCTCCAATTTCAGAGTGCAGAGGAAAGCAAGTTGCTTATTTCCTGATTTTTTTTTCCTACCCTTATTTAAGCTTAGATACCAATGATTTGCATGTGAGAGTCAAAGATAATGAAGGGTGAATTGTTTCTGGAGCCTTTGGGAACTCTCAGTGCAGAAGCTGTCGCTGTATTTTGGGTTTGGGGGTAAACAGGGTGTATCCACCTGCACACTAATTCCAAAAAAAAAATCTTCAGTTTGACCCTGTGGGACGGTTTTAGCTGTCGGCCAGGAGCAAGAGCTATTTCTGTTTATTAGTCTTGTCAAAGCCCAAGTTACCCTCTCTTTAGAAAATACTGTGCATTGGTTGTGATCTGTGTATGTTTTTCTATTTTAGGGTGGGGTGCTGGGGAGGGAGGGGTGGCTTGTTCTTAAAGATGTTATTCTGGTTCAAGCTGTCTTCATCAAAATTCATATGACTCAAGAGAAGGTAGTATAGTGGGCTTCTATTTTTATTTCCTGGAGCCCAGTGGAGAGCTGTCAGATTGTAGTTAGCATGTAGCAGGTGGACCCTAATGAGGACACAGAGGAATGAGTGAGTGTTTGCTTTCATTGTGACTGCACCACAGCCTCATGGGTGCCGAAGCAACCTCAATTCATTGCAGCAGGCCGGTGAGCTTCTGCTGTTTGAGCTCATGTTTTCTCATAAGGTATTAGGATCTGTGTTGTAACATGATTGTGCCAGAAACTATACCAAAACATTTGTTTGCTTTGTTTTCAAGTGCCACAATTCCTTTGAGAGTAGCTAGTCTCTATATATGTAATATATATATATATATTAATCTATCCATGATAGTTTTGCATTTAAAATATAGCCAAGCTATAACCAGCTTAAACTGCACCCTGGTCATGATCGACTTCCTCTTAAATCACAAGATGAGGCTTGAGGTTTCCTTTATTTTAATAAATTACATACAGGTTCTGTCCCCACCTCGCTCTCTAGGCCCTCCTTGCTTGATACCATACAGTGTTTGATAGAACATAATGTCAGGTGTAACCGTGGCCCTGGAATGTGTTCACATTGTAATTCCTGCCCAGACACAAGATCTTCACGTGTTAGAAGTGAAGGAGCCCCACTGCTCACCTGTCCTGACTCTCCATTCTGCACGTGGAAAACCATAGCTAAGCAGGTGTGCGAGGGTGACCTAGGCGTGAAGAGACTGTTGTGTATATAAAACCTGACTGTTGTCCCACCAGTAACGCAGTAACATTGCTGGTGTGTGTCGTCTATAAAGGGTAAACTCTGCTGAAAAGTAAAGAAGGCAGGGCTCAGCTTAAGTCCTCACCTTGGACACTCCAGGATCCCCTTGAGGTGCCAGTTTGTGTTCTGGCAGCCTGGTTTCCCATCCAGCTCCCTGCCTGTGGCCTGGGAAAGCAGTTGAGGATGGTCCAAGGCCTTGAGATCCTGCACCTGCTTGGAAGACCCAAAAGAGGCTCCTGGCCCCTGGCCCCTGGCCCCTGGCTTTGGATCAGCTAAGCTCCAGCCATTGCGGCCACTTGGGAAGTGAATCAGCCTCTCTGTCTTCCTCTCTGTCTCTCTCTCCTCCTCTTTGTATATATCTGACTTTGCAATAAAAATAAATAAATCTTTAAAAAAAAAAAGTAAAGAGGATGGAAGAAAGCAAGAGGGGAAGACAGAAAAGTCTGACTCCTTCTTTTTTCTTTTTGCAAGGACAGCTTTACATTGGGGATACCCTGTTGTAGTCTTTGGGTGCCTGAGCTTGCTAGCAAGTGCTCTCCTGCTTTATTTAGACCAGGAAGTAGTATAACATAGTTTAGCCTTTCCCCTTTTATTACTTTATTTATTTATTAAATTGATTTCTTTATTTGGAAGGCAAAGTTAGAGAGAAAGAGGCAGAGAAAATCTTCCATCCACTGGTTCATTGCTCAAATGTGTAAAGTTGTGCCAGTCTGAAGCCAGGTGCCAGAAGCTTCTTTCACATCTCCCTCGTGGGTGTGCTTGGGCCATTTCCTGCTGTTTTCTTAGGCACGCTAGCAGGAAGCTGAATAGAAAGTGGAGCACCCGAGACTCAAAACCATGGCCATGTGGGATGCCAGTACCGCAGGCCTTACCAGCTACACCACCATTTATTTTTAATCTCATGGGTAATTTGTTAATATGTTCTTACAAAATCCATGACTCCAGCGATAGCCTCCCTGCACAAGTAGGGAGACTGAAGCAGCAGAGCCACTGAACTCACACACCCATGTTAATTAAGGTACTGGGGGTCTTAGAAGTTACTTTTTTTTTTTTTTTTTTTGCTTAACTACATGAGGTACAAAGGCAGCTTCCTTGACCACAGCCAGCCCAAGGCGGGTCTGGGGCATTATTTGGAGGTGGAGTGAGAAAGGGTTGGAGAGGAGACAGATGGGGTGCCTTGATTTGCCAAGATCTCAAAGCCAGGTGCGTTTATCAGATGACCAGGATTGATGCCAGGTGCCCCAGGCTGGGGCTGGGCATCAAGGTGGGAGACGGACGCTGTATGCGACGGCAGGGTTGTAGTCCTGTCGTGTCCTCGTACAGCTCTCTGAGTCCTACTGCTGTGTAAGCTAGGCGCTGGGCACCACGCTGCAGATGCACACATCTGGGTGGTTTCCAGTAAGCATCTCCATGGGTTTTTAAGCACCTGGGTACCTCACATCCATCATCAAGGGCATCTGGATCCTGAGGACTGAGAGGTAAGTAAGATGGGACAGAGACCACTGGCCAGAGTTTGTAAAGGAAGATTCTCAAGAAACAAGCTGGGATGTGATGCTTTAGTGGGGCGGGGGTGGGAGGAGCAAAACACTGAGGTCGGGGTTTAGCACTCATTGGGCCTCCCAAGGGCTGGGGAGGCCTCTACACTTAGGAAGCTCTCCCTCGGAGCAGGGAGCAGCTTGTGTGTGCATGTTTCTGTGTACAGCGTTGCTGGGACCCTGAGGAGCTGTTCGCCCACCCCAGCCCACAGGCCATGGGGAGCCCCATGAGGAGGTCCATGGGAAGGGCATGCTGCCACATGGACCTGGGTGAGCCTCCCAAATGGGTCTCAGTTGGAAGGCTGGTGTTACAGCTGCTGAGACTCCTTGGGGCGGTAGGCAGTCAGACAACCCAGAACCTGGGCCTGCCACCAGCCAAGGCCGCCTTGGTACAGACTGCCACATCTTGGTCCCCTCCTCCTAGTTTGGTCCTGAGGATCTGGTAGGGATTGGGTGGAAGTTCCCTTCACTTGGGTGCCTGTTCTTCCCTCTGTGAATGGAGTGAGCTGGGTGCTGATGCTGATTCTATGTCACTGCCAAGAGCACCAGTCCGGAGAAGGTCTGCCAAACGTCACATCTGAGTCATGGTGCATTCCCTGACCTCACTTAGGGAGGAATTAGACCTGCCTTGAGTCTCACACTCCATCGTGTGAGTAACTTGGTGGTAGAAGGGAGCTGTGTGCGCAGTGCCTGCTCCTGGAATGTGGCCCAAGACTCCAGTCACAGTTGCATCTTCCAAAAAAAAGATTCTCAGAAATGCTGCAGAAACTGCAAGACCTTCACACACACAAGAGTGATAGGTGAAATTCACAAGGGCTCTGAATCCCCCTCTGTCTTCATCTGGTGTAGAAACCTCAGCTACCAGGGGAGAGCATCTGGTCCGGCTCCATGGGTATTGAACAAAAGTCCTAAAATTGAGAGAAGGGAAGTGAGGGGAAACCAGAGATATTTCCAACATGCCGCATGGCCTGGGTCCTTTCCTGGCATGGCCAGTGTTTCTTCTAATAGCGGTATCAGCTGTCTCCTCACACCATCCCCCAGCACAGAGCCATATTCATTTTAGACTTTCTTGGTGAGAGTTTGGCTCTGCCACAAATGCGCCCCTCACTTGTCCTATTGCTTTAATGATCCATTCTCCCCTTAAGCTCCTACTGTATGCCAGGCCCTGAGAACTATCGCAGCAGAGCCCTTCGTGTATAAACAAGATAAGTACTGTGGTAGCTCTGTAAATATCCACAGGCTTTACAGTCCAGTGAGGGAAGAGCTGTGCCTTGAATGCGGCAATGAACCAAATGGGGTCCTTCTATGCAGTAGCTCCTTTTCCCACTGTGTAAAGCTGGGGTGCATTTGCACTGGGAACTTGGATGGGATATTGGGAATTGTTGGGAGTCATGAGAATGTGGCTCATGACCCTCTGGCCAGCAGGGCAAAAGCAAGCCAGGCCTTTTTCTGCGGTGCCCTGCACCCTTGGTCTTGGACATTCTGCAAGGACACCAGGCCCAGCAAGGTAGAGGGTGTCATCCCGGCTCCTGTGTCGCGTAACCAGGCCAGGGCACGCTGCTCACATCATGGGCCAGTGAGTGGCAGAACTAGGGCTGCAGGCTGAAGTTTTCCTGCCAGCCTGTGGTCCTGGGCGCTGCATTTTGATCTCTGACCTTTAGTGGGGCAACCCATTGTCACATTTTTATCACTATAGAAAGTACAGCCAGACTTACAAATACACTGGCTGAGGTTGGGCTGTCTCCATGCTCAGGCCTGGATTGGAGGAGTGTTCGCATTTCTTCCAAAGTGGCTGTGAGCCAGTGTCTTCGATGCTTACTGATTTCTCCTCCAGGTTTCCGGGTGTGGAGGATGAAAACTCCTACCTCAAAGAGGTGATTTTTCAAATCAGAAACCCGAAATTATTCGTTGATGCTGTGGAAGTAATACTGAGCAATGAAAGGTTTTTCTCTTCCTCCGAGAAAAGAAACA